TGGAGAACCAATTTTGAGAAATAGCAGTTGGTTCTGGTTCTACCTTAACATGAAGTGATAATAGTTTAGGCTTTAAGCTATGTTTTGTGGTCTCTACAACCTGTGATTTCTGCAGTTTCCCTCTTTCCTGCCTTGCCAAACAATAGCTGCCATAGGGAAGCGGCTTTTCAAAGCTTAGTAGTTCATCTCTTTGCATATAATGCTATTTTTGTTTGCTTGTTAGATTTATAACTCATCTTTCCTCCAGAAACTCAAGATGGCATACCTAGTTCTTCTTCTAACTTTTCCGCATGAACTCGGTTGGGCTGAGAGGCAAGGGCTGACCCAAAGGAACTTGGTGAGGTTCCATGGCTGAGAGTGACCTCAAACATGGGTCTCCCCTGATCTAGTCTAAAACACCTTTACCATTACATCACACTGGCTGTCAGCGTTGACATAGACTGAGTTATTAGATAACCAGACCTTCAGTTTAGACAAAATATGCATTTTATTTACCAATAGAAAAGAAGGAAGGTAAATAATCAAATGGAAGACTCCCTGAAGTATGGTTTTCAGATATGGCAAACGGCATCCATTATAGTTCAATGTTCCTTCCCCACACTGCAAAATTGCTTCCATTCTAAAAACAACTGGTGATAGAAGATAAATGCAAACTACAGGCTAAGTAGGCTCACATCGTTTTCATAAGAAATGTTCAAATTGGCTGCAGTAAGAACTGCATCAAAATGGTGAAGCGTTGGAGATGCAGTATGCTCCCTACTTTGCAACTTTGCTGGGAATAGAGGAGAATTTTATTGCAGAATGAATTGCTATAATTTCTTCTGCTGAACTAATGCAGGAAGAACACTCTTAAGCTTTTGTACTTCCCCAAGTTTTCTGATTCAGTTGTGGATCAAAAAAAAAAAAAGTATACAGCATGTATGTGTTAGAATTGTGTACAAAACAGGTTAGTGAAAATACCCTACAAAAATCAAGTTCATGGCTTCTTAGTAGAAAAGTGGGGTAAAAAAATAGAGCTGTTTCGGAAATGTATACAAGCATTCACATATTAGGAGAAAACAGTGTGAAAATGCCATATACATTTTTGAAAAGTAACAACCTACAAGGAGGAAGTGAGGTAAAACACACTGAATTTGTTTGCATCCCTACATATGAAACATGGATATGAAAAAAAAAAAAAAAAGATTGTGTGCTGAAGTAGATAAATGTCAAATTAGGACCGGGTTAATATTTATGGAGGGCTCATCTCTCAATTGTAAACTAAGTATGGGTAACTAAGCTGAAGGTTACAAGTAACTGTCCATCCTTGGCCTTGTACTTTTAATGTGACAAGTGGCTTCTACATGTATGCTGAAAACTTGGAAATTCCACTGCTGATCACACTTGTAAAAGTAAAGATCAGGCAGAAAGTGTTAGTGCAGCGCACCCTTAGAGAGAGAGAACCTCGTTTCAACTTATTGCCATTGATACAGACGGGAGAGGGCCACAGGAATAGCTAATGCTAGATGACAAAAGGTGGGTGTATTAGTCACAAAACATTTGCTGCATTCCATCAGAGCAGCGTGACAACCTTTGCAGCCGGCCCTGGCAAGCTGACACAGTAGACAGAGGACTTTGCCTGTGAGAAACTGTCAGTTTTGACTTGGCGGAGCTTTGGAGCACCAGTCAGAACAGTCAGAGAAGATTGAAGTGACAGAGGCCCACTGAGTAAATGGTGAAACATGCCTCAGATTATGAAATATTCAGCTGGGGTGTAAAAGCTCTAAATGCTTTTTCAATTATTAGCACCACCTGCCTTTGCTGCCTGCGTGTAACACTAACCGCATGCTAATTGCCACAATTTGTTAGGGCAGTTGTAAGACAGACTAGGAAAGGCACGCGATGTTACCCACTGGATCTAAAGCAACAGAACAAAACTGCCCCCCCCCTTGAAAACGACATTGCTGCATGGAGTGCATGAAAACCAGAAACGTCATGTGTCCTCAACTGGAGTGCATGCATTTCTCTCTAAGAAGATGTCATCTGCTCAATATGAAGTGGCAGGGGCAAAACTTCTTTATGCAATGAAAGGGAGGTTATGTACATCCAACATGTGACTCCCTAGGCAGTCCAGGTAAGCGTAATTTGGGGAAGGCTCTCATGAGTTGACTCTAGTGGAAGATCTATCTATCTATCTATCTATCTATCTATCTATCTATCTATCTATCTATCTATCTATCTATCTATCTATCTAGTATTTATATAGCCGCCCATCTCACATAAAAGTGAGGCTGGCTGGCGTAGAATGATTAAAAAGAATAAAAACATAAAAAACAATTATAAGTAAAAAATAACTATAAAAGCACATAAAACGGGGAGTTGATGAGAGAGACACCTTAAAAAGCCAATACGTTGGCACAGGTGGAAAACCAGAACAAGTTTCTGAAGCTGCTTTTGAGTTTATTTCTTTGAAAGTCCTTGCTGGATTTGCCCAACAAAAGTTAACTAATTTGGTTGACTTTTCCATACAAGGTAATTGTCATCAACATTGCTTTAATGTATCCTAATCAAAATGCAGGTTACTAACCAAAGGCATTGCCCAATTAATAATTTTTCATTTAAGTAGTAAAACCTCCAGAATATACAGGACTAAAAGTGAAGAGAGGGAGAGTGGAATGAGCTAACTTATTTACCTTTTTTTTTTTTTTTTGGTCTTGACTTTTTCTTCCAGTTCTGATTTGCTCAGAAGTCCTTCTAAAGTTAAAAATGCCAGGTGAATGCATTGAAGGTATTTTTAAAGGGCTGCAAGGAGAGTGTTGCTCTTTAAAGTATCATACTTGCTCTCTCATGGCAGGTTTGCTGGAAAAGGAATTTGTGGTTTTGCTTGAGGCAGTCTTTCTGTGGGATATCATATAGCATTTAGGGTTGCTCTTGAGTTTCATTGATCATAAATGGCATTATCTGCTCTGGAAAACTCAGAAAATTTTTACTTTCCTCAGTGCTTGAACTCAAGTGCACATAATTTTTGGTAGAAGTACAGAGGAGCTGTGAATAAAGTTGGAGATCGAGATATGAGATATAATAGCTAGAACACATTCAATTGCTTTCTGTTTATTTCTTTGTACAAAACTGTGGATGTTGCTGTGCACTGAAAGCCAGCCCTGTCTGCCTTTCAAGGTAAAAAAAACCAAATCCAACTTTTGTTTCAAACAAGTAAAATCTTATCCCCCTTGGTTAAACATCTTCAGAAAAGCAGAAAGCGTCTCGGCACAGAAGCAAGCTCTATTCCAGACCTAGAGAGAGTGGGATGATCCCATTCAAGATATTTGGCTAAATCTTGTACCAATGTGTGTGCAAATACGGGTAGCGATGGTGGAGGAGGAAGAAGTTGGGCAGCTCCTCAGATGTGAGGTTGATATGATGTTATTCACTAGTAGCTTTTTAACTGTGCAATTTCAGAAATGGCTTTTGTATCCATACATGCTAAGAAACCCTGGACTGTCTGCTATAGAATCTGTACATATTTGGGGGAATCTTTCTGGCTAGAGAGGCACAATTTTGCTCCTCCAGATGTAGTTGGACTCAACTCCCACTGTCATCCATGCTGCCTAGGACTAAGGGGAGCTTGAGCAACATAACATTTGAAGGAAAACATGATTCACTCCTGCTCTAGGGTGTACGTTCAGTTTGCACTGGGCCTTGACTAGACCTGTTGCATCTATCACCTCTCAGGAAACTAAAAATGTCCCTTTGATATTTCATGTCAAGGAAACTGGCAATGATCAACAATGCATCCTCCAGTAAGTTTTTCCACTAGGAGGATCCCCCCTTTTGTTCAATTTATTGATTAAAATATCCCCCCCCCCAATTCATGAACAGCTACCCAAAGGGAACAGAATTAATAATTATGAGAAAGGTACAGAATTATTAATAACGATCAAATGTTAGAAACAAGATAAACAATAAAGCAATTAAGAACAATTGTAATAACTATTGAAGAGTAGAAAAACTGAAACAGGCACATGGAATGACATTGCCAGGACAGTTTTAATGTGACACCACATAGATTCTTTGAATCAGTCATACATCTGGAAGATGGCTGTTCTACAATTAGGGTGCCATTTAGCATAATATACAAAGAAGCATTTCAGATCAACATTCACAGTTCGATACAGTAGCCCATAACCTTAAAGTCCATAAAAAGGGAATCAGTCACACTAATTCTGAGGGACACTTCTTTCTGACTTGAGCTTGGCTTGAGCTTCAGGAATTGACAGATTCAGTATCTATATTACTTGATTCATTTTATTAATGGAAGACGCTGTGGCCAACTCTACTTCCCAGAAGAGTGAATTGTAGACTACAATTTTTTTTTTTATCTACTCCTGGTTCACTTTCAGTACATGAGGGTGAAAAACAACTTTTTAATACTCATTTTGCCATAGGAAATGCTTTAAAGATTGCTACAGATCCCATTGTCATAGAAAATGGGCATTGTATCGCACATTAAAGTCATGCATTCTGGATATGGCACTCAGTAGTCAGCTTGCTATAAAATGATGTAATTGAAAGCCTCAGGTTGGGGGTGCAAAATATGATTAGGCAAATTTCTAAAATATTTAAAGTACAGCCTATTAAAGCTTCAAAAGAGTCACTTCAGATGTTATATGTAATAAAAGCAGCCAACTGGCTTTCTTTCCTCTCCTTATGCTGATAGGTCAAGATGGCATTTCGGTTTCTATTCCTTCTACTTGACTGCAGATGTTAATATAAACTCTTATGGTGTTTTCTAGGGGAGAGAAAAGGGGGAATGTATATTATCTTAAGGCAAAAGAAAGCAAACTTAAACTGCAATTGTTCTTGTTAATGAAAACTACTGAGACTAGTTTCCCTTCACCATATTTAAAACAAATCTCATATTTTCATTGTTTCTTGAATGTGAGTATGGCAAAACATGGTACACACTTTACTCTTTGTTATGATCTTGGCTGATATTAATCCGAATGTATTTTCTTGCTCAGACACGATCCTTTATTAATCCCTGGCAATGAACAAGTTGACAACATGGATTGCAATGTGAAAAAATATGACTCCACGGGGATGTTTCATTGGTGTCCAGCAAAAGAGATTGACAAGGTTATTTTGGTGAGTATCTGAAGGATAGGAAGCATTGCAATTTCATACCATATAATCAGATTGAATTATATTGAATTTCTTCAGCACTCTTGTGTTTCCGACCTCACATATGACTATTTCAGTGTGCCAAGTATCCACAAATGAGAAATCTGTGGACTGTTAAGTTTTCTGTGACTTTCCAGGCCAGTTTCATGATTGTTGGTGGTCCATAGAGTTTGGGGCTCATTAAGGTTTACTGTTTTGTGTTTAGTGTCTACAATAGGGTTGTGTGAATGTTAGTTTCAGAGATTCAGTGGCAATTTGATGAGCTAACTTTCTGAATCAAATTTGACAGGTGATTTCAACTAGCTAAACTGATGCCACTGGAATAAATTCAGATCCTTTTGCAAGTATTGGATCAAATCAGATTGATTTTCCACATTAAATTGACAATCCCACACAGATTTCACATGTCTTTTCAGACACCACATTCTACAAGCATGATCCCCATGGTTATCCTTTCCCCTGGAAGATGCAGAGCTGATGTTCAGGTCCTGTGCTTTCAGGTTTAAGGGGGGAAAAAACTGATTTGTAAGTGGCTGTATGATATCACATAACTATATCCAAACTAATTAACCCTGAAGCGCCAAGCTGATCATTAGAAACTATTCAATGAAGACGTTTGGATTCTTGATTAATACATATACTCCAGTCATTTTTTATAGCAAAAATTCATAGGATCATTAAATTCCACATATATGTCACTTGCAATTAATGCTCAACAACTACACTATCAGTGTGGTTGAGCAGCTTTCAGGCCATTAAAATCCCACTCAACACAAGCATTTAAAATGTGATATATGAGTTAGCGGATGCACTTGATCAATATTGTACCCTTGACTACCATCATGAAAACTCTTATGTTATAATCAGAGATTTGTGTGCACATGCTTTGTGCTACTCTGTCTACATGGCAACTGATTATTCAAGGATGTACAAAGGTACAGCACTGAAACATTCAATCAGAAATGTCCACATGTTCATATAGTACATGACAGCCACAAGCATGCAGTCAAAGCCTCTTTTACATGGATCATAACATAAAGATCTAGGAAGCTTAGAAGCAGCAGCTGATTTTCCAAAATCAGTGATATTCCAGCCAAAGGCGTTTATCAGAACTGTTTGTATTGTAAATACACACACACACGTGTGTGTGTGTGTGTGTATAAATATATACACATACATACATACATACACACTGTATATTCATGAGTGTTTTGGACTTCAGGTGGTTCCTTGTGATGCAGTAAAGCATTCTGATTTTTTTCAAGCTTCTGCTCAAGCCAGAACAAAAATATGTCATTGTTTAAGGAATCTGTTCATTAAAGCTCATGTGATTATTAACATGCGGCATCTTTTTGTCAACTTTGCGTGGAAGGCTGAAAAAAGTCTGCACACCCCCAGTTTGTATATCTTGCCCCTTGCAGTAGCCCCTACGTTCATCCATTTTTGCTAAACAAAACTTCATTTTCACACATTTTTCAAGGCAAATCTAGGTAGTGGCAAAGAAAGGGGTGCTTCAGAAAACAGTATTTTCATATCCTCATGAAAATGATATCATATTCTATCCTCTTTTTCTTTTCACGTTACATTTTAATGGGCTGTACAGTGGTGATATTTCCCTTCTTTGCCTTCATTACCCAGTGATTTGGAGATATTTTTATTACACACTTATCCAGAGGTGCCATTTGGGGCAACTTTTCTGTGATATCACATTCTATCAGCTAGGAAGTGTAAAGCTTCTTCTGCTGAGGGTTTCAAGGAATCTCCTTGGTTCTTTGTTTGGGTTGGAGACAGCCATCAAACCGACTCAACTAATCTAATCTAATTACCTCATTACTTCTTACTTCGTTAGGTTTGGTGAAAGTTTGCACCATTTATGTTCATCTGCTTGCATAGAGCACAAGCAGTCCACATGTCACAACTAAAGCTGAGACTGTGTGAAACTGAGTCCCATTGGGCTTTCCCTTTATTTAGTGGGTTTAGATTTTGTTTCAGTAGTTGCTTTTTCAAGATTTCCCTGCACCGCCGAGTAGCACAACCAATAATAGTGACAGCTCTGGTTTATTCTAACGATCATATGGCAAAACCTTGTTCCTCATGTTCTCAAGGGAGTTTGTATAATAACCATGACATTGTCTGGAATTGCAGTATTGGCATTTAAGCGATCAATAAACCAGTCGGTTCCACTGAGTAAATTGTTAAGAATTTGATTCAAAATGGTTTAAATTGATATGCATGCCACAGTGTTCATTAGACCACCAGGGACAAGTTTTCCATACGTTGTTAAATAACTGAGGGCGACAGATGTCAGCTAGAATATTTTAAGTATATTTTAAACAGATACGACGCTTAATGACCTTAATGTTCCACTTCACAAAGTTTGCATGTTAAAAAAAATGACATTAGAGGTACCCTCCTTGTCTGGTTATGATTGAAGATTCATTTACTATATTTGCCACTGTGTGTGTGTTGAAAGAAAGAAAGAAAGAAAGAAAGAAAGAAAGAAAGAAAGAAAGAAAGAAAGAAAGAGAAAAATTAATTCATAGCAACTATGCAAACTGCACTTTAAATGGTCACATTTTTAACCATTTCTATGAGCAACCTGCCACCTTAAGGCAATTTTGTAACATCCTGTCTGCAAATCACAAATGATAGTGGCTGAATCATACCAGCTTCATCTCTCTTAAAAAGATAAGAAGTTGCTTTCAGCCTTAATTGTATTCATTTAATCTCACGGTCTGTTCCATTCAATGGTGTTTCCAAAAGAAATCTGAGTCCGTATTCAGCGGATTCAGACTTGCAAGATTTTGTTACTATAACTGCATAATAAAACTAGTATTGGCATTCATAACTTTGGTTCTACCTTGAAGGGCTGACATCAGTCTTGCAAGTCTGAATACATTTTCCCCCTCCCAGCCTTTATCTTCATGAGAACTAGGGAGGGTCCTGTCTGAGACGCTTTCTCAAATTACATTTCTACCCCAGACCCAGATTTCTTTTATATGACTGTTGTCTCAGTAGCAGCTTTTCCTCCTGTTCCTCAAGGTTATTCCTTCTTCCCATTATATCAGGAAACCTAAACAAAGCCATTCCTTTGATATCCTTCAGGCCCCTTTTCTTTCTCCTAGAACAGTGTGCTAGGTTGGTCAAGGAGCCATGGTCCTCCAATTCCCGTAGAATATCCAACTGCCAGAAATTAGTCACACATTGTCCTGAAAATAATTCCACCAGATTTATAAGACTTATATTACAGCTGACTTAAATATTTACTTTTTATCATTGGATCGCTCTTATAAATCAGGGTCCCTCAACCTTGGCAACTTTAAGATGGGTGGACTTCAAGGCTGGCTGTGGAATTCTGGGAGTTGAAGTTCACCCATCTTAAAGTTGCCAAGGTTGAGGAACCTTGTTATAAATGATATCCAGATCCAGATATCTCTAATCATCAAATTCTGCTTAGCATGTCATCCAGAGGTGTCCACAGGGAGTTGTCAAAAAGGTCAAGATGGTGGCTGTAATGGTGTGATCAAAGCTCCACCCATTATTTAAATCCTGACACCCCATGTCATCCCTTCTTACCCCATTCCTGGATACTGCGATGGAATGCATGAATGTGATTCAGTCTATAAATTTTGAAGACCTGGTTTATATTTTCCATACCAACAATGTGGGATTCTACTTAACAGCTACTATATTCTTCTGCCTTCCAAACGGTGCACTTTTTTCTAAGCTTTGAGCATTCAATACCGTATTAAATATTATTGAACTAAAAATATAGAAACAATTTCCTTGTGTCCTCATGCTTTTGTATGCACAGTAGTGCCTTGATTCAGATGATGTCTTGCTGGCATTTAACACTCTTTTTTTCTTCTTCTCTATGTGGCTTTCCTTCCCCAATTTTGTTTTGCTTTTTTCAGACACGAAGTGAAGCTGCTATGACAGTCCTCAGCGGCCATGTGGTGGTTTGTATATTTGGAGATGTGACGTCAGCACTGATTGGACTAAGAAATTTTGTCATGCCGCTCAGAGCAAGCAACTTCCACTACCATGAGCTCAAACACATTGTGTTTGTTGGCTCCCTTGAATATTTAAGGAGGGAATGGGAGACCATGCATAACTTCCCCAAGGTCTCCATCTTGCCTGTAAGTCCAAAGACCTGATCCTTCCTTCCTTCCTTCCTTCCTTCCTTCCTTCCTTCCTTCCTTCCTTCCTTCCT